CTGTATTGTTTTGCAATTGTAACAAATGACAGAAACTTAGTGGTTTAAAGCAACACCAATGTATTGTGTATGGTTCATAAGATTGTAAGTCTGAAAAGGGTCTCCAGGACTGTAGTTCTTTTGGAGGCTTCAGGGGGAAAAAATTCCTTCCATTGAGCTTTCCAGTTTGCAGAAGCAAAACATCAACTGGGCATTGGCCCCTACTTCCATGCTCAATGACAGCAGCATAATACCTTCCAACTTCTATCTATTCTGTAGGAGCCACTGTCATCATTGAGAGGAGTCTAGAGTTCTTTTTTTTTTTTAAAGATTTATTTTATTTTTATTGGAAAGGCGGATATACAGAGAGGAGAGACAGAGAGGAAGATCTTCCGTCCGATGATTCACTCCCCAAGTGAGCGCAATGGCCGATGCTATGCCGATCCGAAGCCAGGAGCCTCTTCCGGGTCTCCCACGTGGGTGCAGGGTCCCAAAGCTTTGGGCCGTCCTCGACTGCTTTCCCAGGCCACAGGCAGGGAGCTGGATGGGAAACGGGGCTGCCGGGATTAGAACCGGCGCCCATATGGGATCCTGGGCGTGCAAGGTGAGGACCTTAACCACTGCGCCACCGCACTGGGCCTGAGTCTAGAGTTCTTAACAATCTGACAGTTATACCGGGGGTGGGAGAGAAGGTAAGGATTAAGAATCTCCTCTTCCTCATAATTTACCACCTCTTCAATTTCTGCATTGTTTATGAAAAGGCCTTGGAAATTAGAAATTTTTTGAGGAATGGTAGATTTTGTTATATCAATATTGATTATAAATATAATAACAGAATGGCTTCTTATTAAAGCTAGGTGAAATAAAAATATCAGCAACTGTCATTCTCCTACTCCATTTTTGCTGCTATACCATAATACCTGAAATTGGGCTTATAAAGAGCATTAAGAAACAGTTTATAAAGAGCTAGAATTTCGCATAAGTCGGAGACCCAAAAGCCCAAAGTCAAGGTGCTACCATCTGACGGATGCCTTCTTATGCACTCATTCATAGGAAAAGGTGGAAGAGGGAACAGGGAGCAACTTCTCTGTCCTTGCCTGACAGAAAAGAGCAGATCTGCTTCAATAAACCCCTTTAAAAATATGGAAGTAACCTTTGAGAGAGAGAGATCCTCCATGTTCTGGTTCACTCCCCAAATGTCCACCAAAGCTCCTGCCCGCAGGGAGCTATTCAGAGTCAGCTGTGAAGAAATAATTTCCACTACTTGTCTTCACAAAAATCTATGCTCATTGCAGAAACAGGAAGAAGAAGCTAATTGACGCCATCATTCATGCTGCTTTTCCAGTCACCAGCATGGATCCTAGCCATCAGGATACACTGCAGTGTCTTGCATCAGTACATCACACCAGCATAAATGTGGCTTTGGCATTAGAGTTTACATTTTGGAATATTTACTGCAAATCAGGCATGTCTAACTTAGCTGATGTTAATGGAGATCACAACCAGACCTGATGCATTGGGGTTTGTTTATTACTGTCTTTTCCTACCAGATCCTAAATTCTCCAACTCCCAGGTGAGGTTTTTTTTCGTGGTGGTGTTCCAAATCTAAAAAAGGGACAAGCATACAAAAGGCATGGAACAAGTGTTTGGTGAATGGATAAACCATCAAAATACCAATTGCAATCTTTGAAACTCAATGCTAATGTAAAAATGATGCATCAAAGACAGGAAAAGCAACCCTGAGAGTTGCAGGAGCTTTAGCAGATGAGGTCATTTTAAACATTCCTTCTAATAAAAATAATTCCAAGGATTATTTCTCAGTCTTAAGTCAAATTCTCTGTAGCACTGGGATCGTGCAAGCATTTATTCCTGGAAAAGATTAATAGGGGCTAGAGACACAATTAAATTCTTGCTCAGAATTTCAAAACCATCTTTTAGTATTTAAAGAGGCATAGATCATGACCATTAATCAGGGGAAAGGAATGTTCTCGGAATGCTAGGAAGAAATGTTTTTCTAAGGCAAGAAGTCGGAGAGGAGAAGGCATACCTGCCCGAGGCCGAGGACACTGTCTTCTTTGTGCTTAAGCAAACTAAGGCTTAGAGGAAAACAAAAGAAAACATTGACAAGAGGGAATCATTACTGTACAACAATGCTGATAAGATCAGCTGAACTTCAGTTTCTTGTTGTATTTGTGTGTCTTGATTTCTGAGAAATGAGTCCCCCGCACTGCTGGCAAACATGCTAAAAGTTCCTCAACACAGAGCACTTACGGCGAGCTTAATTTCCTTTACCATCATCTGATGACAATAAAAATGTGGTGAAAAAAAGGCTCGATTTCAAACGTTTTTGGTAAATTCCTGTGTTTCCAAAGTTTTTTAATCAGGCTATTCCATCACATCAATGTTCTTTAATTTGTTCAGTCATGCTACACTTTCTGGCTTGCTTGTTTCCAAGCAAACAGCTGTACCTTAAGGATTTCTAAAGCCATTTGTAAAAAACCACAGGGGTTCAGTTTTTATATATGGCTTAGCTGCGTAGAAATAACTCCTATGTGCAGTGTCTCTAGACATTTATAAGAAACTAATTATGTATGAATTGTTAACAAAAGGTTGAAAATCAACTGTATTTGTAGGGACATCAAACCCATTTGAGCCTAGCCCATTGTCTTACGCTATTATGTGCTTACATTATGCCTTTTTATGAAGAAGCTTGTAGCATGGTATTATTGCCCTATGGTATGCAAAGATAGTATGAGCATAAATGATGCCATTTTTGTGTTTCTCACTGCCCCCATTGACATCCCTAATTGTAGCAACTGCAGAATTCTGCATCTCCTATTCTAATAGCTTCCATGAACAAGAACATGTCTCATTAGGGAACTAGGTTTTGGACTCCACAGGATAGGCCAGAAAACTAGACTGACATTGGGTTTAAACCAGTGACCTGAGACCACTTCATACTGTCTAAAGTCTCCAAGAAATTTTCACCTTCTCTACAAGTTAATCCTAAGAATCATAGCTCTTTTTCTTTATATGGTGAACTCATTTAACCTAATGATTTTCCACTTGCTTATTATAATCTGAAATCATTATCAAGACCTTTCTGTATGTCACCTCATCTTTCCCTAAGAAACTACTGCTACTGTAAGAATGGAAAAATTCCAACACCTGCTTAGAAGCTTAGGGAATGTTAGGGCACATTCTATCATCTCTGTGAAAGAAAAAAGCTAAGCAGCTACACCCGAAAGCAGATAATACAACACAAATCACATTTAGACAAAGACATGGTTATTCTTTTATTTGAAGGGGAAAAAAAAGTATGTTTTAATAAATACTGCAGAAACATTGACCAAACAAACATACAAAGTGACTTCAACAATTTAAAAATGCAACAAAAGTTCTGCATTATAACAGTTATAACTTATTTTTTTTACATTATTTAAATACAGAAAGCACTTGCCAGCTATTTTGTAATACTGTCCAAAGCAAGATGCTGCGTCAATCAAAGCATATTATGTTGGTAAAATGTCTGTATTCCATGGGAAATGACTGGAATGGTATTTTCTTGCAGAGACAAAACAAAGTGCTTGTAAGACATAGAACTGACTATTGTAATTACCTTAATCTCTTCTCCTGCCACAATGTAATGGGAGCACAGCTTCAACACTTCAAAAATGAAGCATTATCATTGGAAAGAAAGCTCGTTTTGAACAAGCGCCAACAATAAACAAGTTGGATCTGGTTTCTTCTCTACAAGATCTGGTCAAAAAATATCTGTAAACTATTTAAGTGTGGTTCTTTTATGCAACAACAACAACAGTCAAGTGTTGGACATGGACCTTGGTTGAATCTGGGTTAATTGAGGTTTAGCAATTACACTCTAGAAATGCCCTAGGATTGTGTGGAGACTGACATTATGTCATTTTCCACTCGGGGTTCTCTAAAGTGTGGGAAGGTGTGTCCTTCTCTTTACGGATATGCATTTAAACAAAGCGAAACAAACCAACACATTATCAGATGCATCTAACCTTGGGAGTTTATTCCCAAATAATAGTCTTTTTGCTTTGCATTTTTGGTAACTTAATTCCAGACAGCTTTACTCACAAACTGTGCTTTCTGCTACTCTTCCTTCCTTCATTACTTCTTCTGGTGAAAGTAGTACATTTTTATGCCCTTGAATCACTCTATCACATCAAACCAAGACACCTTTTATTGGACTTCACGTTTTATCAACGATGGCAAAGAAAAACAGAAACAAAAACCACACACACTTTCTTTTCTAAACAGCTCACAAAAATATTACATTGAGCAATTTACCACTTTTTAAATGACGATCACGATGATGAACAAAACCATCAGACTGAATAGAAATCAACACTTTTTTTTCTATTTGATCTATGCATCTTTGTAATGCTGGTCTACATAGCTTGCAAGACAGCAAAAGCCTTCCTTCCAAACCGTCTTGCTCAGCTATCTTCAGAAAGGCAAAACTTCGACGCCTCATAAAGTTTTCCTCTGGATATCCCATGGGTCCTGATACAATTTCCATTTTAATGATGAGCTAGGAGGAAATTAGATCACATCCTCAAGAAAACTAAATGCTAAGGTCACAGTGCCAGTTCCCCAGTGAGGATGGTATATTAATATATACTTTTTTTGTAAAGGAGATTAAAACACTTAAAAAATTAAATCAAAGGAGAGATCCATGAAGAGATTGTAACAATAACAAAAAGAAAACACGCCAGCACCATTCAAAGTGTGATCTTTCTTCTTGGAGGTACTCGCCTTCCTTCTCATCCACCTCTAGCCCATTTGTATCGCATTTTTTTGGCATAGATTTCAAGTCCCACTTTGAAACTTTTCAAGGTTTTCGCTTCGCACCACTCAGTCTACATGCCGAACTTAAGGACAGGTTTCCAAAAAGATGAGTCTCCTTGCAAAAGCCTCTAAGCCTCTGGGCGTGACTTTGGCTGTGCACTTCATTCAGACTTCACCTTTGTTTTTTTTTTTGTTTTGTTTTGCTGTTGTTGCTTTTTACACTAGATCCCCTTGTCCTCATGAAAGCTAACGCCAAGGTTCACATCACAGTGCAGCTCTTCGCTTTGTCCTTTCGTAAGTCCGTAGCAACTGCAGAAAGTTCTGGTCTGCTAGGCATGTGTGAAATCCGCTTTGTGGCCCTCTGTGATTTGTTCCGCTTAACGTTTTTATTTGTCTTATTGACACATGCCAACGTTGCAACGTGAAAAATGTCTCTAACGCTGTTTTCTGATTGTAAGGCTGAACATTCAATGTAAGTAGCTGCTCCAATCTGCTTGGCCATGTTTGCTCCCTGAGAGTAAAAGAAAGGGAATTAGTTTTTATAACTTTTTTTCAATATGAACTTTCCTATTACTTCAGAAATACTTGCAATCAAGACTCATCCCTAAAATATCAATGATGACCCAGCACTGCCTCAGTTCCCCATGGATACTGATCTAATGCCACTGTCCTACTAAGTGATGGCCATGGTCATCAGCTACTCCACATGAAGTCACCAATGGAGGAGGTGAGGAGCTGAGAGGGCGATTTGTCTTCACTATTAAGTGTAGCTAAGAGTAACTGGTTACTTAGTTCTCCCAGGGTCACAGGAAAGCAGGGAATGCCCAGATACTGGATTAAGTCAGCAGATGATCACGCATACAAACACTAAATGCAACACACACTGGTAAGGGTAACTTGACCTCGAGAATCTACTTTCACAATGGAGTGCTCACTTTCTCTTTTCTTCAAAACAAATGACATTCAAGGCTAGTTTACAGGTTGCACAAAAATGAGGACATATAAGTGGAATTTAGAATCCAGTTTGAAATGTATCTTGCTGAGTCTCATGGCCAAAATAATTTGAGGAAAACAATACTATCATGGCTTCCATTATTTCGTGGAGAACATTACTGCCAGAACACAAAATAGTAAGTGTGGGTGCAGCAAGGGAAGAAGTTTATATTGCCAAAGTGTCACTAATTAGAAATGCTAGATAGAAAAGACTATAGTATTCTAAATGAAAAATATGAAATTCTCATTACTTGAACAGGATCTCTTTTTAGAATATGATTGTAGGTTTTGAGAGAATGAACATTTGAGACTGGTATTCCTTTATCAATACTCGTGGGAAAAGTCAGGAGAAATGAGGAGTCTCTAAAAGATGGTTTCTAGAGTTTGGCCCTGCTGGCAGCAGCCATTTTCATTATTTTATTGTGCTGCTGAATATGAAGCAAGAGCACCTCTCTTAAAGGGTGTTATACTGATTTTGACCACTTTCTCTCCCCACCTGTTTATCTTTTGCCCCAGTGGGAGCTTCAGGGACATATTTGGTGGCACATACTCACCAGGCTATGCATGCAAATACGCTACACCATTGCCTGACACAAGCATCCATGCTTCACCACTGAATCCCACCTAAGCCTCTAGAAAACCGCCCAATTCCAATTTCATTTCTTATGAGTGACACTTCACCCCTTCCTTTCACTTTTTAAAACTCTACTTCCAAACACTGACAACTTACATACCTGGTCGTATGACACCGGAGTCTGCCTGTGGTTTGAGAGCTCTACTAGTGTGCTAACGTCTGTCCGAAGATCAGATTTGCAGCCGACCAAGAGCATTTTCGTATTCGGACAAAACTCCTGAATTTCACCCTTCCACTAAGAGGAAAAAAGAAAAACAGAAAAAATTAACAAAACACTGATATTCACATAATGAAAAAAATACTTTCTCTACTTGTAGACAAGCAGGCATTTAAATGAAAGTGTCACTTGAAATGGTGAGGTTAACTTCGCATTTAGCTCCTGACTAAAGTTTGACTACTTTTTCCAAGTGGATCTATCGAAGAATGTTCATGTGTATTATTGATTCTTCCTCTTTGTGATTCATCTGTTTCTGATGCAAGAGACTGGTTGAGTGATGTCAGAAGACAGCTTCAACAATTTCTTAATTATTGCGGGTCTCTGTAAGGTAAAAGTGCTTTCCAAATATTTATATATCATAAGTAGTGACTATGTCCTCAAATATGTTGAGCTAGTACTTCCCAAGTGGAAGGTTGAGAAGAAGGCAGAGCCAATGCTAACACACATAAATGTTAACTAATTTTATCAGGAAAGACTGACGCTGGGTTGATGTAATAATACAGCAGGTTAAGTTGCTGCTTGCAACAATACTATCGCATATTAGAGTGCAGGTTTGAGCCTCAACTACTCCACTTCTGATCCAGTCCCTTGCTAATGCACCTGGGAAAGCAACAGATGATGTTCCAACCACGTGGGACCTTGTCACCCACAAGGGAGTTCAGAGTGGAGTTCCTGGCCCCTGGCTTCATCCTGGCTTAGCTCCGGCTTTTGCAATCTTTTGGGGAGTAAATCCCAGATAATCTCTGTCTTTTTCTGCCTTTCAAATAAACAATTGTCAAAAAAATTGATAGGAACAAATTGAAGCATAGCACAATATACTAGGGGCTCTATTCGGACATGTTAAATAAAGATAACACAACAGAATGTCTTGCCTTCTAGTGGAGGCAGCTGGGTTAACTCAGACCACATTTGCAAAGATCACTCTGTTACCAGGACAGCGTCTGGTACAGTAGCTCCCATGCTTCTGCATTAGACTTTACATTACATAATCTACTAAATATTCCAGTTTAGTTCCACTGGACTAGATGTTTCAAGACCTACAAAGCATTACAAGGATCTCTGGAAAAGTCTGCCAGGGAATTCCAAGTATCCTCCTTCAAAGTGAGCAGATCATTTTTCCATGGTTTCATTTCCTCCAGTTGGAGCTCTAGCTACAGGATGGGAGTGGAGAGAGGCTGGAGCTCTAACTACAGGATGGGAGTGGATGGGAATCTGGGGTTAGAATTTTCCCAGGAACACTCTGGCTCCTAGGGAGCAGGGACCAGAGGTGCTGAGATGGGGAGCCACACCTGATCCTTCTCATCCACACGCACAAATATGTATTAAATGTTCTACTAAGTATTCTCAGTGATGACAAAGATGATTAAGACACGGTTTGTCTTCTGGAAAGGAGCTCACAGGGTAGCAGAGGTGATGAAATTCTAACTATAAGTACAAACACTAGGGAAGAAGAACACGCAGCAAGAGCAATTGAAAAGACTATGAAGGGAGACACCTCCAGAGCTACCGGTGTCCTTTGGGCCATGAACTCTAGTACAAAGTACTCTAAAGGGAGTAATACACCACCTTTAACAGTCTAATTTGTCAAGCGGATCATTAATCCCTCCTTCTCTGTTTCCCCTCTTTCTTTTTCTTAAGTAGAATTGTTTAGATACACTCATCCTGTGCTAAGTAATTCTGGAGTGAGAACTGAGGATGAGTTTGAAATACAATAAGAAATCTTTAATGGTTTAAGTCACTCTAACCTCTTTCATTTTCAAGGACTTAAAGCACTCAGTTAATCAAGATGAATCATAGCAGAGGTTATCATGAGCCTTAAACCTCACACCAATGTAAAACATACTCATTAATATCTTTAAGCCCAAAGTCACCATTCATTTGGTCTTAGAAGACAAAAGCAAAACAAAACAGGAGAAAGGCTTTTCATCATAAATTATGCATAGCCTGATACTACAGCAATTGAAAATTTCAGCAAATAAGCAACCTCTTTTATCTACAGACATAGCCAGACATGTTCTTATGTGGCACTTCAGCTGTGTAATAGCTTTGGCTGCTCCCTGCATGTCTGACAATTGTTTATAAGCATTAAAGCCAGGAAAGGTATATTCCTTCCTGAATTGGACAAGCATTAGTCTTACTTGTGTTTGATACATACTACCTAAGATTGAAAGTTAAAAGGTAAAAAGGAGCCTTTGATCCATTAAGAAAGTCATATTTCATTGAGTTATGTCTGTTGTATTCACTAAAGATGGGGAAATATTTATAGTTCAAACCCTGGTTTCTTAATGACCCAAGCCACAAAACCACCATCAATAGAGACAGCTGTAAATTAATAAAACACACAAACTGCAAATTCCACAAAAAATGAAGCTGTCTCTCCTCCCCCTAAAACCTCAGCCAATGATGTGAGGGCTTTTCTGTCTCAGCTCCTGTGGAATTCTCAATGGGCTGTCTGGGTCACCACTCAAGGGATACTGCCTCGCTCTTCTTCACATCCTGTGGCTAAGTCATGGTTCATGAAGAACAGTTCTCCCCCAGGGATCTGATTCTGAAACCCCACAACTTTCAGGCCAACGCCAATAAGGGAACTAACGGCTGGTAAACGCAGTTACAGGCACTAACACACACCTTTCTTCATCTGTCATCTACCTGGGCTGAGGAAGCCAGTCTGTTCCTCCCTCCCATTTGGCCATTCTAGCACTTGTGATCCGCCTCCAACTGGTCCTTTTTCTCTTAACCTGCCTCTGCATTCTTCTGTCCAGAGCATTCCCAAGCTCCTTCTGTACCTATAAAGCCCATCTTGACTTTGCCTCCAGAAATCAGGTACCTGTGATGATTGATAATACATTTACAACTGCTGCTATTTTTTGGTATATGACATGCATGTGATTGTAACTCATATTGTCTCATGTCTAAAGACCCATTCCTATTCTTCCATTTCTGTTTTTCATCAATACGACCAGCAGTGAAGTAGAAATATTTCTGAAGCACTTACTATCACATTCATTTTAAGATCTGAATGGAGATCAACTATAAATCTGTAAACTAAAATGTAATGTGTTGAATAAAGGGAGGATGATCTGTAAATGAAGGCATAATCTATTGAATTAAAGGAGGAAAAAGGGAAATAAGGTTGATATCAAATCAGCCATCAAATACAATTTATTCCTAAAGGACATACAGGTCCTTTGTAAAAACATATTTATTTAGGGGGATTTTAGAAAGTAAAATTTCAGGGCCTGGCAGCGTGGCCTAGTGGCTAAAGTCCTCGCCTTGAACGCCCCAGGATCCCATATGGGCGCCGGTTCTAATCCCAGCGGCTCCACTTCCCATCCAGCTCCCTGCTTGTGGCCTGGGAAAGCAGTCGAGGACGGCCCAAAGCTTTGGGACCCTGCACCCATGTGGGAAACCCGGAAGAGGCTCCTGGTTCCCGGCTTTGGATCAACGCAGTACCGGCCATTGCTCACTTGGAGAGTGAATCAGACGGAAGATCTTCCTCTCTGTCTCTCCTCCTCTCTGTATATCTGACTTTGTAACAAAAATAAATAAATCTTTAAAAAAGAAAGTAAAATTTCAATCAGATTGTTGGTCGAAACTAGGGGGGGCCACAATGTCATGGAAATGCTCTTTGGATGTGAGTGCGTGTTTCCCACTGTGTTATTACAAAATGTAAGGCAGGGATTTTAACTGGCATCCTTGAGCTCCCAGCACTTGCCTTTTTTAGGACACTGTCCAGAGTCTCAGGTCTACTGATATCAAAACAAATGAGCACAGCATCTGAATCCGGGTAAGAAAGGGGACGCACGTTGTCGTAGTAAGGAGAACCTGGGAAGAAACAAAGAGACAAATTTCAAACAAAATCCCCTTCATCCAGCATGTATTAAATCTGCACTTTTGAACTAAGTCCCTTGACTGTAATGTACCCATGAGCCTTCCTCTTCCCTAATTCTAGGAAAAGAACACAAACACACAAAAGCTGGATTATAAGATATTCATCATTTTGCCAGGAAATATATGAAGCATCGTGTGCATCTTGTGTGAATGCAGATGAGGGTCAGAAGCTTTTTTTTTTTTCTTTTTAAAGATTTGTTTATGTATTTGAAAGTCAGAGTTACAGATAGGGAGAAACAAAGAGATCTGCCATTAACTGGTTCATTCCCCAGATGACCACAATGGCTGAGATAGGGCCAGGCCCAAACCAGGAAGCAAGATCTTCTTCTGGGTATCCCAAGGGGTGGCAGGGACCCAAGCACTGGAGGGAACTATATTCCATTGCTTTTCCCAGTTAGTAACAGGGAGATGGATTAGCAATGCAGCTGGCAGCATATGAAGCAGCACCTACAGAGCATGCCAGCAATGGCACTGCAGTGGTGTATACACTGTGCCACAATGCTACCTCCAAGGAGTGAATCTTAAGGTGAAATCTGCATGATACAAAGTCTAAAGTCACAAGACAGAAGGTGAATTAAGCAAGTGCTTCCTGCCATGTGACCTTGAGTGTAATTCTGTCTCCATCCCCTCTACCTTAAAGCAGGCAGCTTAAAGTCTCCACGGCTCTGTTTTTTCCACTCATAAAATGAAGCTGTCAATGCTATAGCTGCCTGGGATCAAATAAATGCAGGCAGTACCGAGCATTTAGTAAGGTAGAAGTAATATTACCTTTGCTTGTTATAGTTAGGGTGGTTCCGTTGCCACTAGAGTTAAAATGCTGACTGGTAAGAAGCACCATAAATTGAGCTGCTTCTTTGGAAAGACACCAAAACTCAAGATCAGAAGTGATGGTAGGAAAGGGGTGAATGGGAAAAGGGAGACGATGATAGGTTCAATTAGGCCAAGAGAATTACAGTAAAGGACATCAGTGTCACCCTGTCTTCTGATTTACATGCTTGGATAACAAATTGACCTTTCTGCTTGCATACTTAAACTTGGGCTCCAAATATATGCGAACTTTGTTCCTGCTACAACCAAGGCTGTGACAAATGCCATATTGGATCTGTTACTTTTTATATAATTCCATCCTTTAGAGTGAGACTGAAGCATGATCCAGGGATCTTTAGCCTAAGCTAACTCCGAGTTATCCTGATGGTTTAGAGCACCAGCCAATTAATATAACCACAGAAACCCTCTAGTCATTTAGAAGTTTCTTCTATTCCTTTAAGAATTTCAGAGCATACTCAATTACAAGGGCAACAGTTATAAAATCAAACACAGCTTGCCAACTGCTTCTTCTTTAAGACATCATTTCCAGTTTAATGACATTTCACAAGCACATGAAAAATCCCCTTACTAGGAAAATGCACATACACATGTATATTTTACTTGAGCAGAAAAAGAAAACTTAAGCAATTAATCTTTTTACAATTTTATTTCAGGCCTGGCGTGGTGGCCTAGTGGCTAAAGTCCTTGCCTTGAACATGCCAAGATCCCATATGGGCACCAGTTCTAACCCCGGAGGTCCTGCTTTCCATCCAGCTCCCTGCTTGTGGCCTGGGAAGGCAATTGAGGATGACCCAAAGTCTTGGGATCCTGCACTCATGTGGGAGATCCAGAAGAAGCTTCTGGCTCCTGGCTCTGGATCGATCGGCTTAGCTCTGGCCCTTGCAGTCACTTGGGGAGTGAATCACTGGATGGAAGATCTTTCTCTCTGTCTCTCCTCCTCTCTGTATGCCTAGCTTTGCAACAAAAATAAATAAATCTTTTAAAAAAATTTATTTCATTTGTTATTACTTTTTATTTCCAGTTAAAAACAAAAAAACGACATGCTATTTTATGATAAGTAAAAACCTTGATAGTCAAAATCGGGAGGAAAGACTAATAAAAAGCTTATAAAACCATCTTAATATTTCTATTAAAACAAAGATTTTTTAAGAACCTGTTCTTGTGATGCACAAGGTAGGTTAGTCACTTGTATTCACAGTGAGTTCTGGCTCTCCTGCATTCACTCTGACAACTGGGACAACACAGTGCCTTTCCACTAACTGTTAGAGACGCTGAGTAACAATGTCAGGTCAGGTGTGGCTGCTAAACAAGGAAGTGAAGCATGGGATAGCTCAGAATCAGGAAGGTGTGACTAAGAAAAGACAGCATCAGCCAGAATTATCCAGGCTTCCTGCCCACACCTAGACTCAGGATCCTAGGAGAGCAGAAGTAACGACATATCAGGTGTTGGCTCTGCCATGAAAAACTGAGGCTGTCTTCTCAGCCATTTAAAGAGATCTAAGGACTTCCCAAAGGGGACTCCTTTACTTATTTTGAGGGGCATGAGTCAGATGGCTTAGGACTCACGTGAAATCCACAGGTGCTTAGTTGCAAACACTCCCTGTCATATGTCCAAAGTCTAACTGACACAGCTCTTCTGTAAACAGTTGGGCCCTTAGGAAATCCCAGAGCATATGGTAGAAGTGCAAACTGTGCACATGTAAAAGGTCTTACCCTGCCGCTAAATGTACGTAAGAGGACCTAACCCAGACGGTCAGACATCTAACCAGGCTTCAGCAATCTCCCTTCCTGGAAACCACCGTTGTGGCAAAAGACAACCCCATCACTGTGGGTATTTTAAAGCATCATGCAGGCCTGAACTACAAAAGAACGACCTCTACAGGTACTTCACTATGGACCAGGTGTCTGTCAGTTTGGAACAGTCCTGAGTGCTCACCTCACATTCAAAATCACTCTACCTGACCAAGGTGGAGACCATCTTACTGTAACTGAAAAATCAGAAAAACAGCATGTGCTGACAGTACACTTTAGTTGGAACTACCAGGAAAATCCAGAGGAATGATTTCAACATTCAGACTATAAGTGGCTTTCAGTCTGTTCTCCCCTCCTCCACCCACGTCATGGTCACAAAGGGAATGTGGCTTTGTGTTCAGCATGTCACCAGCTGGACACTCCTGCTCCTTAAAATCAAATGATCGGGCTTCTGGGTTTAATGGGGATCAAAAACAGTGCAAAATGTAGACACACTCTGGCTTAATTTGACAATGAGACAGATTTCTCACTTTAAGCCAGATTCTCAGGGAGGTTTCTTTCTGTTTTAGTTTTTATTTGGTTTAACAGCTTCAATGCAAAGACATGTGTGGTGTAAATGTTCATGAAAAATAAACCGCCATGTTTGTCAAGGTAGAACAAGACCTAAATGGAAGTAACACTTTGATGCAGTCTCGTTGATTTTGGCAATAAATAGCTCTCCTTTTAGATCAACACGTGTCCAAAGGTACTAATAAGGCCCTTAGTTATAAGCATGATTTGTCTGATCAACAATAAGTGTTAATTTGCCATAAAAAATTATCCTACTTAATCAGTAAATTTTTGGTAAGCTAAAGCTAAATATTCTTTAGAAAGAAAATCTACTTTCTGGTTTTTTTATGGTAAAAAGCAACAGATTTAGAATTTTACAATCCTAGAATTGATCTAACAGGAAAAACCCTCCATTTCATCAACAAAGCAGGACAATCAGGGAAAATAATGCCATAAAAATGTCAAGTGTAACATTGCAGCATTTAAGCACTCTGAATTTTCCCTAAAAAGCCCAGCCAATTGCACAAAGAAAGCAAGGAAAGCAAACTGGAGTGATCAGAGCATAATAATAGCCATGTGCTGGATACCTAGCAAGTGAGGAAAGAAAGAGGAATTTCAGGAATGCCTCAGTGAAGTAGGAAGCAAGGCAAGGAGACAGAGGGGCACCATACACACACAAAAAGAGCCGAAAGCCCAAACAGGAACTATACCTCTCCGGCTTCCTAAATCCCCAGAGAGAAGTTTTTAAACACCCAGTGTATATATAATAATTTTAAATTTGTTTTAAATACACATGAATAGCTTCTAGGATGCTTACTGTAGAACCAGGCACAAGAAAGAAAGCTACACATGACCTACTGTGCACGCAAGTAGTAAACTTTAACTAGTACTGATGTACAGACAGTAGACTTAGTTCCTAAGAATGTGCTATAGTTCAAGCACCATCAATCTGGATACCAAGCGTTGTGTGTCAGATAAAACTTTCTCAGCGTGTGAGTAGGCTTCTTGCACATGGGAATTCTCAGAAATGGCATTTCTCTTACTACATGAAACTTACAGTCCACAGTACTGTCCCAAGGTCCTGTTTAAGCTACTGACAGAACCAAAGGCTACGTTACTTGTGCACTGTGTCCCTCTCAGATATAGCTGAAGAGCTCTGTTTAAGTATAGGTTAGAATGAAAGTTCACTGGGGGTTTTCTGAGTTGCTCAAGTTTGGCAAACATCAGCAAAAAACCTTGAAAAGGCTTGTGAAATTCCAAATCTACCCATCTTTGTCTCCAACATCATTAATTCTGGGTGAGAGCAAAATTTCCAGCCCAAGAATAGTCACAGAGTGCCTCACCCAGAAACTAATTCTTCAGACACATACCTGCTTGCTGAAGTCACACTTTCACAAAGTTAGAACGCACCATATATGTACATAATTAAATGTATATAGAAAGAGATCCATGGCCCAAAGTAAGGCTTTAGGGAACCTTATGCAAAACCACTTCAACTCTGTAAACCTCTGGAGGCTGGGGCTTGAAAACTCTTTTTGCTGAATATTTCAGAAATGTAACTTCTTTCACTTGAACTTTATTTTGAAAATCTCCTTTTACTCCCCCTGAGGAATTCCTATTAAGAACAGCGAGCAATACTATGTATTTTTGGCAGGGATTAAGAAAAATGCTTTTAGTAATTTTTTGTATCTGCTACCAAGAACATTTCTGCTTCACACGGCAACTGCATGATATGCCCCATTATTACAAGGCTGTGCTTCCCTGTGCCATGTTTAATCAGAGGGAAAGCTTTAAATCGGTAGCAA